GCAACCCGCTTGCATACAATGGCAAACTTATCTCCACGCAAAGCCATAAAGCGCGCGGGGTCAGAGCCGGGCGGGCGCAGGGAAAGGGAATTGGGGGTAGGGTTGTTTTGCTCACCCTCAGGGCTGAAAGATCTATCTCATCCAGGCTCCGAGCCGGAGAATCACTCGCCATGTTTACTTCTTTGCCGGAGAAATTGACCAAAGATAGAAAGTAACCGCTGCGCTCTTCTGGCTGGATCCCCACCTGGGTCTATTTCACTCCTCTCCTCATGCGGGGGTGGGGATGGGAGACACCCCCACTGCACACCGAGGAAAAACACGACACAACCAAAAAATAAAGCCCCACTGCAAAACAAAAAATCCCCCAGCAAACAGTGCCTGGGCAAGTCTTCCTCTGCTTGCAATCCTTTAGGTAGGGAGGGCGAGGCCAGTGCAAAGCTTAAGGGCGATGCTGGGGAGTGGGTGTATTTAAATAGGACATGCTTTTTGCTTTTCTCTGGATGGCGGCTGCATTGGCTGCTGTTATAATGAGACACATCAACTCCTCCAGTCGGATGGAGAGAGAGCCACAAAGTGTCTATCACGGCTTCCTGGGAGGAGTGAGTGTCACGAAGTGGGTGTTGCCTTTCCTCAGGAGAGAGGCAGCATTTCCATGCCATGTGTGTTTGCACTATCCTGCTGGGAAAGGAAAGGTAAAAACTGCCTGGAGCTGGACCCTGCCGATTTCTGGACTTATAACCCTGAAATTGGACCATCAAAATAAAGGCTGTCACTTCAAAAGAAAAAAAACACACACACACTCCCACAAACACACACATGCATCTAAATTGAAAAACAGTGTAGCTGTTCCTGCTTTAAGAGCAAAATCTGGACCCTGATATAACCCAGCCCAATAACACTGGGGGGGGGGAGAAATGCATAGTATCTGAGTACTGTTGCATTCAGCCAATTTTACATGCTATATCCCCAAGTTTTATTGTGTAAGTAGAGAAATAAAAATGTGCCCCCCCCCACATCCCAGCTTTGTTGCAAACTGATGAAACAGATCTGCAAAAATGTGCATAGGGCACTTGGTCCTGCTAGATTCAGATAGTTCTGTTTAAATCCTAAATCCAAGAATCCCACCACAAGCCATATCGAGAACAATAGCTCCCCACATTCCATAGTAAAAATTCAGAGCCATTTCTTCCAAAAAGCATCACAAATATTTATCCGCTGGTTTCTTCCATTTTTGGCCCCAAACCCTCTAATTATACCATTAACAGACTAACATGATACCACTCCTTTATCATAAGAATTCAGCATTCACACCTTCTGGTGCAGGTGAAGCCACTTTCTGCATATTAAGTTTGTACAATTTGGGGGCTGGAGCCAAAAATTGCCAAGACACAGAGGCTTGAATCCAGATTTTTGTAGCACTCCATGTTTTCATGATGACTTAGAGTCTGAAATTGTTAGGTATAGAGAGAGTGACTACACTTACTCTCTGTCTATGCCATTCAACATGGAGTTGAGGCCTAAAAATGGATTTGAGCCAATGCAAGATACAAGATGGGGGAGGATAGCAGTGCTCTAGCTCTGAGATGTGCCTGTGACTAGATTTTTTGTTTTATTCGATAAGAGCAGCTAGACTAGATGTAGTGTATAATTTTGGGTTTGGGGACAAAAATCAGTAGAAACTAGCAGAATCTAGGAAGATCCAGCTTTTATTTGTTTCCTTATTTGTTATTCTCTACCACCCCCCAAACCTGGTACATTCCTTGTATTTGTTGCCTCAAGGAAGAATATTATAGAAGATGCACTGGGGAGACTGTCAAACTTCACAGGTTTGTGCGGGAATATTACAAAATGCAGGTCCGTGAAGTGGCAACACAACCACACAATAATGTGTGTGCAGGACAGCAGTTGGCTATTAATTGTGCTTTATGGATTAAGATGCTCTTTGCACTACATTTTAGTGCAAACAATCATGCAATTGACAGAAAGGCTTGTTGCCTGCAGCTAGTGTGTCAAGGGCTTTGTAGTCTGAGACGCAGCACACACATATTACCAGGAGTAATTTGGGAAGCAGAGCTAGTCAGTAGGTTAGCCTAGCAAAACAAAGCCTACTGAGTGAAATTTCCCTATCAGCAATAGGCTATCATAACCCAGTTGCAGATCCAGGGGCAGCCCCACCCCACTTTGTCCCCTCTGTTCACGGTCACTGTGCTGTCTACAGAGTGAATACCCTGCAGGGAAGGAAGTTCAGAGCTCTAGAACTGAATCAGTCTTCTTATCATTAATAACACTGATCACAGAGTTCCTGATACATGCAGAGAAATGGAGCAACAGCGTCATCAACCAGTGCTGGTCGTTAGAGCATTTTTTCCTAGAAAATTTCGAGTGCAAAGCAAAATATAATTTGTATAATTGAACTGCCAAATGTCTCAGGTAACTGAAATATACAGAAGTATAATGTTCACAAGCCTGTTTAGTGGTGCAGTGATGCAAACGATCAAGGTTTCCAATACAAGAATAAATAAATCACATGTTGCAAAAAGATTAATCTCTGCTGACATTAAAAGGATCTAATTTAACTCAAATCTTAAAGTAAGGGGAGAAAGGCTTTTACAATATCATGGAACAATCAAATTATTGCCATGATTCTCTCATTCTTTTTCAACAATGGAATTGTCTTTTAAACCTAGTGTTGTTTTTATTGGTTGTAACCTATACATTGCAATGTTGCACTAACACATGAGAACCTGAAAGCGAAATTGGCTAGAAGCCAATAACAAACAAAAATGAAAAGAGTGCTACTGTTTTCATTGTTCTAGATGAGAGAAAGGAAAAGAGAAAAATGTATGTTTAATATTCTTTCCATTTAGAGAAAATAAGGTGTAATTTATGAAACAGTTCATGACATTTATTTTTTTACATGTATAGAGATTAAACCTTCAAGCAGGCATGTTAGCATGGACACCTGCCACAATATGATTTGTGATGTTGGCAGAGTGACTTTCAGAATTGAGGCCTATACAGTAATTTGTCTTTGAAGATGTAAATATAGAGAGCCAATTTATATCAACAACCGAATAAATAAGCGAAATTATGATAGTTTATAGTATAGTGAAAATTCCAATTTCTTCAATGCACTTCAGTGTGCAAATTGTGGCTCTGGTCATAATGAACATCTGCTGATAGGATGTTCTGCACAAAGAATTACTTTACTATTTGTGTGTGTTTATAATATCCAAATCTGTGGTCACTTTACGACTTCAAAATTATTATAACTGTGCTATGTACAAAGGCTTGGTGGCAGTGGACATGGAATCCAGATTGCAGAAACTTATGATAGCTAGGAAGCGGCCATCTGAACCATTTTATTTTTTAATGCAAAATGCAATTTCTGCAAGATCACAATTTTCCATGGAAAAATTTCAGTTTTGTTGGCAATTTGTGATACTCCATCAGAAAAATTGAAATTAAATATTTAATTTGGTATTAGCTTCACTTGAATCAGAATATTTCATTTTGTTGAACTGACCAGAAACTCATCATTTTTAATCAATTCAGTATTAAACAGCATTTTTCTACTGTGTGGCATTGTCTCATAGGAGCTGTTAGTTTGGGCCTCCATTCTATCTTTTTGGCTGGGCTCACTAGTGGATTACATCTCCAGTGATACAAGGTGGAGTTCCATCTCACCAAGATACCTGGTATATGTAAATGTCATAACTGTAGATATATAGTTGTTGTAGTACAGACAAGAAGCATGGTCCTTAGTGGAGAATGGGGGTTCAGGGTCCTGAACTACAGTTCCCATAAAGCAATGCACTACAATACAGAATTTCAGTTTAATATAATGAGCTGATTTGAAATGCAGTATTTAGGATTAATTCAATAACCAAAATTAAACATTTCTGTTTCAAGAACTAGCAAAATAATTTGTTTCACTAGAAAATTGGGAAACAAAATGTTTTGTCATTTCTAGATTGAAAAAGTTCTGAATATTTCGTTCTGTAAAAAAAAAATTAAAAGTTTTGTCCAACTATAGGACAGATGATTTAAGTTACAAAAATGATTTGAAATATAAAAATAATGATTTAAGTTAAATAATTATTTAAGATATAAAATAGCGTGTTAAAGAGGTACATTTCTTTAATAAGATTCCAGTTGAATTCAATAGGCTTTGTATCAGTTCCAAAAGGATTGCACAGCCTTTGCAAAGAAAAAGAGGGACTGATATAATAGATTGACAATGACCCATCCACTGATATATTTGATTACTAGAAGGAAGATTCAGCTGAGTCACTGGTTTCCAAAAATTCCATGACTATTAGATCACATCTTCAGTTGGTGTAAATTGGCATTGCCACATTGACTTCCGTGGTACAGTACTAGGTTGATTTACACCATCTGAGGAGCTAGGCCAACATTTTTACATGAAATGCACTAGTAAAAGGGCATTGCCTAAACACAATAAAGAGTGTTTAAATATTAATACTCTATTAAATGGATAATAATTGGATTTCAAGCTAATGTGATTCCTGCCACAGCTGTGTTACAAGATACTCAGAAATTAATGGCTACTTGTGTCCATCCTGCATCTATTGATCTTCCCAAATGCATTGTAATTGGTACATCAGGCGATTGACGCTTTTCGTGCTGATGGGAGTTGCCACAGGAGAGATGCAAAGCAATGAGGAACACTCTGGGTACTTCACAATCACAGCAGTGACACGTTGCCTGTGGTTTATTATTTATGGCCATCGCTATTGTTTAAGAGAACAGATGGCAATCACACCAATAATGAGTGATTGCAGCACACTCTCTGTGCAAGCCTTACCTGCATCCTTGAGTCACTCCAAAACAGGGCATGGCATCATGCAACATGATGCAAGCCACTACACACATTAAGAAGTGCCATGGGACATCGCAAGGGAACTTCACTCTTGTTGTCTTAGCCTCTCTCTTGAGGAAATGGACCTTGCTTCCTCAGGAGTTGTGTACGTCAGCTGATATTGCTTGGAAGAGGAGTAGACATTAGAAGTCACAGTTAGGCCTTAGGAACGGGAACCGTGGGGTATGATTGTGGCATCCTGCTCCAGGTTCCTCAAAGCCCTGTAGACTTCACACTGTGCAAGATCTCCATTCAGATTTGCAATGGAGAGCATCATGGGGTAGCACATAGCATATGGGCTATGAATGAAATCCTGGCCACATGGAAATCAAAGGCAAAATTCCCATTGACTCTAGTGGGGGCCAGCCTGTCACCCTCTGTATTTTCATTTTAGTAGCCTACATTGCTGGGACTACTCCTGCTTCTGAAGCTGGGAATCTGCC